GGGGGGGGGGGGATCGGCCTCGGCCAAGGCTGCGCGCCACCGCGCTCAAGCAAAGTAGTTGAGCGTGGCCTTCTTCTTGGCCTGGACCTCCTGGACACCCTGCATGAAGTCCTCGTGGTGGATCTCGGAGGCGCCCCTCCGCAGGGCGATCATGCCGGCCTCCACGCACACGGCCTTCAGGGTGGCGCCGTTGAAGTCCTCCGTCGACCGGGCCAGCTCCTCGTAGTTGACCCCCGGGTGGACGGTCATTTTCCGCGAGTGGATCTTGAGAATCTGCGCACGGGCCTCCTCTGCATGTATGCACCATGATATTGAGCCAGGGGTTGCGGGGAGGCGGACGACGGACAATGCGCACCACCAGGCAGGTCAGTAGGTGTCAGATCGGGGGCCAGATCTTCGATCGCACAAGCATACACGAGTTGTTCCTCCCCCCGCTCCCCGCCCTCCTCGAGCTCGGACGGGGGGGAGGGGAACGTGCAACCGCCGGCAAGGGCAGGCACAGGAGGCAGACGCACCGTTCGGGTGGGGGAACTCGATCTTCCGGTCCAAACGCCCGGAGCGCAGGAGCGCCGGATCCAGGATGTCAATGCGGTTGGTGGCGGCGATCACCTTCACCTGGTCATTGCTGCTGAAGCCGTCCAGCTGGTTGAGCAACTCCAACATGGTCCGCTGGACTTCACGGTCGCCGGACTTGTCGGAGTCGAAGCGCTTGGTACCGATGGCATCCAGCTCATCGATGAAGATGATGGCCGGGGCCTTCTCCTTGGCCAGGGCGAAGGCATCGCGCACCAGCTTCGCGCCATCACCGATGAACATCTGCACCAGCTGCGGCGCGGCCAGCTTCAAGAAGCAGGAGTTCGTCTGGGCCGCACACGCGCGCGCCATCAGCGTCTTCCCGGTCCCGGGCGGCCCGTACAGCAGGCAGCCCTTGGGCGGCCGAATGCCCAGCTTCTCGAAGCGGTCCTTGTGCGTGATTGGCAGGACCACCGCCTCGACCAGCTCCTCGATCTGCTTCTCGAGGCCGCCGACATCGCTGCATGTGCCGAGCAGCCCGGGCCGAGAGGGGGGACGAGAGCGAAGGACGGGGGGGCGGGGGGGGAAGGGGAGCAGATGGCAGCAGGCGACAATGGAAAAAAACGCAAAAAGAGAGCGCGACAGGAGGGGGGACAGATGGAAGACAAGCGCCGAGGGCAGCAGCAGAAAAATGACGGCGGCGAAGTGGAGCAGGAGACACAGAAGCAGCCCCATGCGGCAGCCCACCGCCCCCATTCGAGTCGCACAGCACACGCACACACAGGGGGAGGGGGAGAGAGAGAGAGAGAGAGAGTCAGCATATGTGCCCCGGACACAAGGCAAGCCCAAGCCAGCAGACACACGCACCTGTAGTCCTCAGTCGGCTTCTCATCCACCTCCATGGCCTTCACACGGGGGTCATACTCGGGCGGCAGCGTGTCCAGGATGAGGAAGCTGTCCTTGTTGACGCCGACCAGGTCGCCCGGGCGCAGAGACTCCGGGTCCACCAGCCCGGCGATCGGCAGGAACACCGTCTGCCGGGTGCTGGTCTTGACCACGGCCGACTTGTGGTCGCGGTTGTCATCCTCGTTGACGTGCGCCCCGTCGTCCGGGCCGTCCGCCTCGCCGTCGATCTCGTCGGCGGCCGCGGCCAGGTCGGCCGGCGACAGGACCTCCACCACGTTGGCCACCAGGTAGGGCATCTGCTTGTTCACGCGGATGCGCGACCGGTTGGCGTTCAGGATCTCCATCTTGCCGCTACGCTCGTTGTCCATGGCATTGATTTGGTTCTGCATGGACTGTGGCGGGCCCGAGCGGGGCCGGGGGGGGGGGGGAAGAGCAGGGCAGCGGGAGGGCCAAGAGCGAGAGCAGGAAGGGGGGAAGGAAGCGCCGGCCGCCAGGGCCACAGAGGCAATCGGGGGCGTTAGGGGGAGGGTGGCGCGAGCGGATGGACGAGAGCAGGGGGACGAGCAGAGCAACAAGGGAAGGCAGTCGGCCGGAGCCCACGCACCTGCGTGGCGTCATCGATGTCGTTGATCCGGCGACGGAGCTCGCCGTCGGTCATGGCGAGGATCTCCGGGGAGATCTCGTTCTCCACGAGGGCGTTCTCGAGGGAGGACATGGCAACTGGAGGGGAGCGGGT